TCAATAACAACACTTTTAATGTAACGACAAAAGTAATACCAGGTTTATCACTATGCTGACTCAGAAAATAATTGCTGGGGAAATGGAATAAGACAGCCTGATGCTTGTAAAAGCGAAGTGTCCATTGGAAAACAGAATGTGGTTGTTTTACTGCTATCATCTGCGAGGATACGGAACTGCTGGTCTTGCTGACTGCTCTCCAAGGGAACAAGAGGTAAAGTTCTTCAAACTAAGAAAGAGAATGAGGGAAGCAGAACTTATTCCTCCACGGAGTTGCAGGAACATGACTTTGCCAAGAGCATCTTGTTCACTCACAGTTTTAGCGGCTGTGATACAACCTTTGCAATTTTCTAAAAAAGCAAATCATCGATTGCTAAATTATACATGACTCAGCAGCTCGTACTCTACCCCCCCACATGTCTTTTACACAAACACTTCAACACACAGGGAAGTCGCAATGGCAGAAGAATAGATGTTCTTATCAATGTACAAAGCCAGATTAACAGATCTGGTCAAACAACGCTACTTAGTCTTCCTAAATTTCACCCACCACAAGGATGAGGCTAGACATCCCCTCTCTACCACTAACTAAAGACTCTGCACTGCAAAACTAGTACAGAGTCTATCTCCAAGTTAACAAACTCCCCCTACTGATTGGGGTTGGATGTGTATTTAATTATGGCAAAGCACACTAGGGCTATCTGCCTAAGGGGAGGGATGCCTTTCGTGGAGGACTTTCTAAGGGAAACTGGCTCGTATACACGTTACACATGGGGAAAACCACGAAAACGCCCATGCAGCCAGCCCGTTCGCGGGATTCGAACCTCGGACCGAACTACCAGTGTTCAGCGACTTTACCGCTCGGCCGCTGGTGGGCACAATTGGGGTTGGATGAGATGGTCAGATGGAGATCTTCAACAATTGCCTACATCGCATCACGCTGCTCTCCTATCCACAATATTCTGCAGCTGCACCAAAGGCTGTGGTACACGCTGTGGATGACGTAAAGCAGGCATTCATTGCTATTCAATGTACAGTTGTAAGAGCATGTGCACAATGACCCTCCAGTTGAAGACGAAAATTCAGCATATAAGGACGTCCCAGATGAACCCCGTGACACACTGTAAAAACTGTTTGACTCAATACATTCGATTTACTTACTGGCTACAATTAAATTTACTCATAACATAATTCAAATTATCAATATTAATGTAGAAGAAAACTATAGACTGTAATTTGTTTTAAAGTGCGAATAAAGCACAATTTTTGAAATGATGTTACTTTTGTCAGTCCTGTAACTCTTAATAAATTAGTCCTAGAACAAAACTGCATAAGGCCATTTATGTAGAAAATTTTGTCAGCTTCAATTTTGTACATAAAGTATTTTTCTGTAGGAGTGATAGTATCCGAGACATTAGCGAAAAACTGAGAAAAGAGACATTTAAACCCCTTTCCCTCCTCCAACTCACACTCACTCTCCAGGACATTTTAGGCAGAGTAACTCAGGTCTAAAAGAAGCATTTAAGACCATTTCCAAAACTCTAGGGTATTTTTTAACCCATTAGACAAATTTGATTGTGTTATGGTCTGATATACTTATCTCATGGGAACGCTTCTGATGAATAAGAGTACCATCCAAATACTTAACAGCTATCTGTCACGCAGAACACTAAGAGACACCGCAGATGGAAGCATCTTTAGAAGAGAGACAGATATAGGCTGCCCATAAGCATGGTACCTTGGTCTAACCTTGTGAACCGTCCTAGCAGATATAGCTCTTAATACACCGAACAGTATAAATGCACAAGCTTATGCAGACGACATCCTGACTGTAGTAGGACGGGTACCAGAAGATACGAGATCAGAGCAAATCCGCAAACTGATACGTCCACCATAAACTTCAACACAAAAAAGGTTTGCCGGAGTACTCGAAAAATCTCAAAACCTTAATCAGGCTTCCAATGTTCAAAATTAATGAGCATTCAGTCAAGATAAGCAACACTTTACAATATATTGGCGTTAGCTTGGATACGTTCAGTCAGATTCTGCATATAATCTACCTGAAAGATGAAACATCTCGGTAGTACATCAGTCTACTCTGGATGTGGCCTATGTCATCTCAACGCTTCTAAAAGTATATCACACACAGAGAGTGCTAACAGTTTGCCATAAAGCATCAGCCTGATTTACCACATTAAACGTACACAAAGTCAGAAATATTCTCAGCTGTGGAGCCCTTTTAATCACTAGAGCATACAAGACTGTCTACATAAATTATATGTATGACACGGAAGAGCATGGCACAACCACAAAAGTCTTAAGGGTAAGAGCAGATGTCACCACATGCGATGTCACATACCTTGACACAGACCACGAGATGAGAGTTCCGTCTCCAAAAACCCATCCTGCATGATTTAACCATTAGCTTTCTATGACTGATATAGCAGATGGAACAACAGAACTTTAAATATATACCAATGCCATCTGTGCAAAGATGAACTATGACTATATTTTTCAACGGTTAACCAGATTAAGACACCTTAATTTTTTCAAGAATTATTTGCAATTTTCAAAGCAGTAAGCAAGTTCTACGCAGAATATTTAGAACAATTATGCGCAGATAGCATATCTTATATTCAAGCAATTAATGCTAGTGTTTCTAAAAACGTCTTAGAATAGGCTATGAGGGAACATCTCCCCAGCAGCGATATTCTCATCACTCTGCAATGGATCAAAGTTCACGTAAAGCACGAGGAAAATGAACGCGCAAACATGTTGACAAAGAAACATGAAAGAAAAGGCAAAACAAATGCGGATAACATGGCAAAAGCAATGGAACAAAATGACAACCCATGATTATTTTCCACTACTCTCACCAGCCCTAAAATCAGATAACTCCATACTGATCCAGATCTACACTTAACACTGCCCTTCATAGGTTAGGCCTTAGGGAATCGGATTATGTTCCCTGAGGTAAAATAGGCAATTTGAGACATGACTTACATCCGTCGTGACTCCAGGACCCCATAATATTCAAAAACATTTTGTGGGGCCCCATAAATATTGCGCAAATCCAACACACGCGTGAGTGAAACTGTCAGTTTTTCATTTGTACTGCAATATACTATTGCAGTTTTAGGTCATTAACTTAAATTTCTAATTTTAAGACACAGAACAATATGAAAGTTTTAAATAAGTAACAGACGAAATGACAGCGTCACGTGCAAAGCAAGGAAAATGAAAGTTGATATTATAAAAAGAATGCGTCGAAACTTTTTTTTTTCTTTGTCCCTTATCTTTATCTATTCTCAGGTAAACTGTAAAAATATTTGGTAATTGTAAAATTATTGTAATAAGTTAAAGAAATATCAAAACTGCTAAAATTTTTGGCGACCCCCTGCTGCAGATCCCGCGACTTTTTTGGGAGTCGCGACCCACAGTTTAAGAAACTCTGAATATGTCCTAATAAAGAACATACATCTTTCAAAATCTTCTGAAAGAAATCCTCGAGTTACTTTCCGCAAGTCGAGCTCTCCACTACTAGAAAATACAAAAAGGCCTAATGAAAGCTCTCAAAGCAACTGCATATATAAACGCTTACACAGACAGTTTAGGCCTTTCACATAGCATAACACTTCTAACTTAGAACTATTTAGTGCGAAATACATTTAGTCTTATTATATCATTTAATTATATTCCGTATTTCTTATTTATTCATATTTTTAAATCCCCAGTACAACTTCCACTTTATATATATAAACTGTGATCTCATAAATATTTCAGTGAATTATTATTTTAATATTTGAACATATTCTGCAAGAAAACGTTCCTGTAATATTTGGCACAATATGCGTTTCCACGAAATTGATGTACATAATTCTAAAATATTTGCAATACAACTTTTAAGCTTACGATATACTTACACTTGTCGTAACATGGTACCACAATGTAGTGCTTGCTTCAGAATTGTATGCCCATGTAATGTAATGCTATGTAAAATAACAACGTATGTTTAAATATTGTCGCATGTCCTGCGCGGCCAGTAAATTTTCTCCTCCACAGAAAAAACAACTTAAGCATAATAGCAGGCATGTTGTCCTCATAGGCTGCACATTGCGTTTGTATCATAGTTTCAATTCAATCTGTATGTTGAAGTAACAAATTTTGTCAATCACATAAAGTGTATTTTAAGAAGTTTACAAAGAGAAAATAGAAATAAAAAAAAAATCCTACATGTTCATTGCTGCTGCATATAATGAATCATTGCAATTGATTACCCAAACCTTTCCATTTATATTATGGCAACAATTTAGTTAATTAAATTTATTGTCTGAAGGTTGAATCAGAAATCAGACCATCTGTTGCAGCTGCTGGTGATGACAGAGAAAAATCAAGGTATATTACAATCCTTCAGGTGCATTTTAATCAAGGTATTTGCCTTATTTTTTTCACTCAACATTTTTTTTACTTTAATTAACAACGAAATTTTTTATTTCCTATTTTTTCTTGCTCTCCAGAAGAAAGATAATTTTATTTAGCCTTGTACTTTTCACTTCGCCGCCCTACTGCCATGGTGGTAAGGAGCCAGCTACCACAGTTTTAGGCCTGAGTTGGAATTTCAGAGAAAACATGGATGGTTGTTAAGTGCGCAGTTTTCTAGCATGAGGGTATTTAAAATGCTGTCAAGCCGAAAGTCTTCTTAAAAGGTTAACATTTGGATCCAACCCCTGAGAGATTTTCCTTCAAAACTGAGATGGCACTCGACAAACTCATACTGTCATCTATAACACGTCAAAGGTCTTGCCTCTTTGCCATGATAAAACTCATGAATCTAATCTGGCTACAGCTTCACACCAGGAGGATTTAAAGAACTTTTTATTGCAAAAATTCTTAACTATATGTACACATACGTATACAAAAATATATAAATAATGATATCTGCTGCATTTTAAAGTGTGACTAATACTACAACTTTGAAAGAAAAAAAAAAAAACTTCATCTAAAGTTTTTGAAAAATTTATTTTACATTCCAGAATAACATACTTTACTTTTTACAACAACTATTTGATAAAAGATTACATGTTTCTGCAACTCATTCAGATGTACTTGAACCAGTCTCAGATCTACCAGAACGTACACTTTCAATTAATGAACTTATTTTATGTTTCATAAAGTTAAATGGATTATTATCTTTCATTTCTCTGGGAACAAATACTTCATTTTCTTGTAGTCTGAACCATGCCCAATGAATAATTATAATTCCTGGAATAAACACAATGACGGGACCATGCCTGTCCATGATGCGCTTAAATGCACTCATACTGGAAGACTGGAAAAGAAAACACTAACATATAACAAACAAAGAGATACCTAATTTCCAAAATTAAAGTAAGATTAAAAAGAGTTTGATAAATCATATTTCATAAAGCAATAGTGTTTGTTAAGTTAGTATATATTATATGTATTATTTAAATGTGGTAATTATTCTTAAAAGTAAATTTTCAGAAATGCTACCATTTTTTTTTTTTTTTTTTTAATTTGTCAATACAAAGAATCATTTTGTTTAAAAAACATCAAAAATATTTTGAAAATGCTCCTTTTTTTTTACTACTATATCACTTACTTTCAAAAACTAGTTTATAATTTTTTATTTCAGCAAATTTAAAAATATGATTTAAAAATCAAACCATTTTAAAATTTTCTGATGAGAAATGTTTTATTTTGTTACGCATTACTGCATTACTTAAAAACACATTTAAACTTTCATAAATCAAAACTAAAGAGATGAAACACATTTAAACTTAAATCAAAACTGATTTATTTATTTATTTAATTCCTTTACGCATGCGCATTTGAAATTAATAAACATAAATCAAAACTGAAGAGATAAGAAAAATGTTTTTGAATAATTTAAGTGTTTTCTTATTTTATTTTATTTTTTATTTATTTATTTTTTTTTTTCCAGTTGAGGACTACCTATAAATTGCAATGTTCTGCAGAACGCTTCGCCTATATTATTGCCAGTATTCTACATTTTTAAAGTGCATTTAATTAAAATTCAATTAATTTTATACTGGTATTAAGTAATTAAGTTAATATGTGAAAATTCGTAATTTTTTTTAACAATTCAAAGCTATTAGAGTTTGGATAATCTTTGCCTTATTAAATAAATGTTGACACTCACATTAATGAGATGGGTGAGTCTACTGATTCTTGCACAGCTGTTCTATGTTTGGACGTATGTTAGTAAGTTTAGTCTGAAAATCAGGACTTGCGTCAAATCAGTTTCAGTATTTTCTTTATTGAGTTATCGTGAAAAACCCTTTTTCAGGCAGATACATAGAAGCAAATAGAATTATAAGTTTTAAAACACGATTGAACAGTTCACTGCAGTCTGTTCATTAGAAATCCACCCACGCGGTCCAGATGTGGCGAGAAACAATGGCAAGAAACAGCACAATCATAGAGTTTAAACCCCTCTTTTGTTGCTAAGACTAGAATGGAAAGTTCATAAGTAAGGTAACCAATAATGAATTTCATAAAATGTCTGTCTTGGAAGAAAAAGTGACAGATGACTGCCAACTCTAATGAGATACATTCCGATGATCTCATTGATCACGTGACTTATGTATACTTTTTGTAAACAAACAATGCAGATGACCTCAGAGATCACGTGACTTATATTCAGCTAATGCAAACAAGCAAGGTCATTCTCCCTCTTCTTCTCTTGCGGAATGTATCTCATTTCCAATTCCGAGACTTTCATTTATAGAATGGTATACGCATCTAATCTGAATTTTCGTTTTTGGAAATCTAGAAGGATTACAAGGGCAAGTTTTCAGGACTACTTGTGTTCCATGGGCCACTGTTTGGTTAGCTTAGGTTAATTGATTAAACTAAAGACACTCGAGGAGAAAACTCTTTTTAAGGGAAACTAGCTCGTATCCACATTACACATGAGGAAAACCACAAAAACATGCAGCCAGCCCGTTCGCCAAGATTCGAACCCAAGCTGAACTACCAGTAACTTTATTGTTCGGCAACTGGTTTGTTGTCCCACAGTTTGAGAAACACTGATTTAATGTATTAATTACACAGATTTTTCCAAAATTTGCAAGAAAACATTTATGATTTTTGACAAAATGTATACAGTCAAAAGTCTTTAATCCGGACTCGTCGGGACTTCGGCGATTCCGGATTATCCATTTTTCCGGATTATAGTTCATCAGTTTAAATCTGATAAGATGGCACGCAGAAATTATAAAATTAAAAATATGAAACCGTAATTTATGAAATAAAGAACAATTATGATCTAAAGGGTATCAAAATTTACAAAAAAAAAAAAAAAATCTTAATATTTATTTGTTTACTTTATTAAACATTTCTTTCAATGTAAGTTGTTTAAGTTGCTTCGTTTTATTTGCTAATGCTTTCTCTTTAAATCTATAAAAAGACATAATTTCTTCTTCAGTTACAAAGTTCCGCTGTTTAGTCCTATAATTGCTGTGTCGAGAATACCGACTAATTTGTCAATCGAATTGTTTTCGTTTTCAATAACCTCTGGGTCACTTTCTTCACCATCGGAAGCGAATTATAATGACGAGGAATTTGATTTATCAAAGACGATTTGGTTTGATTGGAATCTGATATATCAAAGACGGAGTACATCGAGATGAAATACTACATTTAGTAAGGAATTATAAGCCAAATAAAATAAAAACATCTGCCCTGAAGAAAAGGATAGTGCTGACAGATCAACTTCCAGTTGATTGCGCGCCGCGATGTTACCCCCCCCCCGCAGAGCAGCGTGAAATTGATAAACAGATTTCGGAATGGTTAGAGAAACAAAGGATATGCCTTTATCCATTTTTTTTTTTTTTGCAGCAATTCCACTTTTTGTTTGATGGACATCGAAACATACTTTAGCTTTGTAGATACTTTGGCAGCTCCAGCATCGGAAATTCTATTTGACATTACCGAAAGTTCAAGCTTACTTTTATAAAATTGCTCTAACAGTCTGCAAAAAATAATAAGCTGGATCCAATTCGAAGATTAAGGAACAACGCAATCTGCAACATTAATTGAAATAGATAATTAGATAATTTTAGCTTAGCTTATACCGTCCGTTATGCATTAAAAGCGCATGCGTAAAGGAATTACGCGCATGCGCAGAAAGTTTGTAGCTTTGAGTTCCGGATTATAAATCATTCCGGATTATGGGTGTCCGGATTAACGACTTTTGACTGTATAAATAATTTAACAAGGACTGAAACCGTGCCATATGCTAAAGCTGAAAATTACTTCAATACATAAAGTATAGTGAAGCATAATTAAAACCAAAATGTTCTTTTTACAAAAATCATTGCCAAATACAAATTTTGGCAATGATGGTTACAGGAAATGAAAATTATAAAAGCGGTAAGGAGAAAACAACAGTGTTATGAAACTATACGATTCCAGCACAAAGCTAAGCAGCATATATCAACTTGAAAGTGGCAATGATTTTTTCCACAGCTATATTATAACACCTCCCCCCCCACAAAAAAAAAATTAAAGAAATACTAAGAAAATACAAATGCAAACAATATAATAAAATTGATATTTTAAAGAATTTGATTTCTTAAATATTAAATATTTTAAAACAAAGAATTAAAATATACATGTAAGAGTTTAGTTTCATTTAATTTCAAATAAAAATAGATTATATATGTAACATAAAATAAAAGTTTCTTTAAAATTCATGTTTAAATACTTACAAAAGCAAGACTATGAATGCTGTCAAGGCAGTAACTAAATGATTTAAAAACCCATATAAATGCAAACTGCTTAAGCCAATTAAGATTTTGGAAAAGGAGTTTGGGATTATGATCTACTTTGGTCCATGAAAAAAGAAAAGTACAAAAAATAATTTCAGCATAAATTCAAATTTGGGGGGGGGGAGGTGTAATAAAATTTGTTTGGGTGAGGAGAAATATTTAAACTGATGTATCAAAATTTGAGAAATTAAAATTTTTATTGTATACTCAAAAAGAATGCCTTGGATTATGCAGAGCTAACAAATTTAATTTTAAAAAATTTTATTATATTAATAAAGAAGCAATGCAGATTTGACATTAAGCTCAACTTATGGGGGAAAAATGGTAATAATACTTTTCATAATGAAAATTGATCCTTCTTCTTCAGTACAATTGTTGCAGTAAAATCTTTCATTCAAGGATACTTGTGGTACCAAAATGAGAGTCCCTAAATAAAAGGTGCCCTTAAATCAGAGGTTTTTCAAAATATTAGTAATTTACCTTTGTCATACAGAATTAAAGATTTTGTTCGTTATAAACATAAAAATATTTTACCAGTTTTAAAATTTTAAATATTACTCTCATGATATGAAAAAACAATAAATTAAAACATTGTTACAAAATGGACAGGTGCGGTAAGATGGCTTCCCCGCAAAGGAGTTTTAGGGTTGCCATAAAATAGCAAGGAAGACAGGGTTTCCATATTTGGCAAGAATTTGCCCATTTTGCGACATTTGGCAATATACCATGGACTGTTGAAGAACCTTTTGGTACGAATTCTTACCAGTTCAGCCCAGAATGTTCTTGAACACAAGCCGAAAGCTATATAAACCCTGCTGGTCCGCAGACAGTTAGTGTGCTTCATCGTGAGGGCGAGTGTGTGTGTGCCTCAGCGAGAGTGGAAGTTAGTAGTATCGAGTTGGTGTCTCCTCTAGCAAGTCAATCGAGTTGACAGCAGGGCAGCTGTCGTCGAGTGCACCGAAAGAGTCTCGTAGTGTATCATGGTTAATGCATTGTTGAGAGAGCATGTTGAGCTCCAGAAACGACTGAACCAAAGAGTCGAGAGCTGTGCTCCATATGTCATCGAGTGTATCGCGAGTTGTAGCGTGGAGAGTCTCGAGAGTACGTGGAGTTCCGAGAACGACCGAGCAGAGTCGGGAGCTGTACTCTGGTGCTTTGCAGTGAAGCTGTCTCCACCGTGATAGCCTGTTAACCTGGAGGCTGTGTCGCTGATTGTGTCAGCGTGTTTATAATAGTTCATCGACGACTATAAAAACGTGTTTTGCAGCTGTCCTGACAATACTGGCCAATAAAGTGTGAATCGATACTTCATCAAGTAGTATTGTCAGTATTCACTGCAAATCCTCATGAACCCCGTATGAACGTGAAGGAAGAAAACAACGTAACAACTGGTGTCAGAAGAAAAATGTAACAATATTAATAATTAATCCCAAGGACTTCAATTTTATTTTGGTTTAAAATAATCAATAATATTTTTCTAGTGGCATTTTGTGCTTACGGTATGATTTTCACAGCAGACTTCTAAGTCAGAAATTAATCTAAAACTTCCACCATCATTACAATGAATACAAAATAATTTCAAAGCTTTTAGCAAATTTTATGTTTCACTATATGTAGATAATAGAAGATTTGAATGAATGCATTGTTCAGAGTTTTCTTCATCTTATTATAATACATATTGGTTGGTTTATTTAAATATGGGAAACCACTCAAGGACTATCAGCCCAAAGAGAGAGATACCTTTGTGGAGGACTTTCTAAGGGAAACTGGCTCATATATATGTCATGCATGGGGAAAACCATGAAAAACGGCCATGCAACCAGCTGGAATTCGAGCTTCAGGACTGAACGGCTAGTGTTCAGCTACTTTACTACTTGGCTGCTGGTGGGTCTGTAATATATATATATATAATCAATAATAATAATTTTAATGATATATTCCAATCTCTTCTAATATATAATAAATAAGGATTTTCACTATTTCTGCTACATCTGATTTATCATTATTCTGCTGCTGCCATTCTCTGAAAGCATATTCAGAAGTTATTATAATTTTGAGGCTACAGTTTATTTTATCAGTGGCTGTAAATTAATTACAGATTCACTATCCAGCTTAACAGTAAATAGTGTTAGACACTTATTAAAACTAGCTTTTGTAAGGAAATTGATAGTTAATATTTCCGCTTACCTTCTTTTTATGCAACATAAATCCATTTGGACTGTATATAAAACTATAATTGCTTTTGCTAAATCTGTTGCAATATTGATGATTCCATTTTTGAAATTAATGATTTTAAAATTAAATTTCCAATAAGATGCTTTAAATGAATAAATTTTATTGAGAGGAGGAGGGTAAAAAGATTATTTTCATACATTCTAGCTGCAAATTACGGTGAAAGGTTGCATTGCCAATAAACAATACTAATTACCTTTTCCTATGTAAACACATCACTGAGGAATTTTTTTGGTATATTTTGATTCTGTTAAAGTCATACATGTTTATAAACAATTATTTCATATTTTTAATTTCACAGTTTGTGCATACCAACTTACCAGATTTAAACTGAATACCTAAAATCTGCAAATTTCAGAAATCCAGAATCGATGAAATCCCAACAACACTGGACCTCGAACTTTGTATTGTATTTAGAAATGAACCAACATTACCTAGAGTTTTGAATCAAAATAAGAAGATTGTCTGTACATGAATATTAAAAATATAATGGCATAGGTTAGTTTTTAGATACTTGTAATTTTGAAACTCATTTAAAAAAAAAAAAAAAATGAATAATAAAGAACTGACTTCAAATCTCTTTTCATAATTTATCTATTTTTACACCTTGTTAAAAAGGAAATTAAAAAACTTCTTAAAATAAAATCAATTATTCAAAAAATGCCAAAAATAAAAGCACAAACGGATTTGAATATCTATAGCACACAGTTAGTACACAATGCAGACAACAGGCTATTTAATATTCAGTTGAAAGCTCAGTTAATCTTTGGATTATGGTAACTTGGCGATTTTTTGGTTGCCCTGCTACAGCAACCTGCTAGTTTTGGTTTGGACGCCATTTTGTTTTCACGAAGTAAAGGCATTTTTTTTTCTCAACATTCTTTTCCAACAATCTGCTAGCCGAATTAAGCTTATGCTAGAACTTTTATGGAACAAAAGTGCTTAATCATGACGAAGATTAGGTGCGAAATTGGGAGAAAGTGCAGAATCGTCCACTGCTTGCTGCGTTTTTAAGAATTGTACATACACGGTATCCATATACATGTCGACCTATTTTCACTTAAAAAAATCCCAGAATTACACAAAAATGGCACTGCGCACACTCTTGACTTTTATCCATGTACACTGCTAAAGTCCTAGCTAGTAACCTTTATCGCCTTACCAAAATGTTGCCAAACTACCTGTTACTATATTCCAAAGATTAGCCGAAAGCTCTTTAGTTCATAACACAATTCAGTTAAGCAAAAAGAAAATCCAACATTAAGACTCAGCGTAAATTTCTTAAATTTTTTTTGCAGTAGTAGTTTTGATAGTTTTTAAACTATCGAAACTTTCTTCAGCTGCAGCGAGCTTTACTCTTCTTTAACTGCTAAGTGCAAATGAACCAAATAGCTTAGCAGCTGAAAAAGGTAGTTAAAAAACTATCGAGACTATTACAGCAAAAAATTTTTAAAAATTGACGCTGATGTTGGACTCTGTTTTTTATTGTTATTCTGCGTGATACTTAAACTAAATTACGGTTCAGTTAGTTTTCTAAGTATAATAGTGGATCAAATGAAAACAGAACAGAAGCGATAAAATGAAAAAATATTATTTATTTTCAAATGCAATTACCAAAATTACACAAGCACTTTTCCCACTGTTGCATCAAGCAGTGAATACCTCATCCGTGGAAAGAGTTTGGCTGAGATTGAAACCAGTTTCCAACTGCCCATCACTTCACTGTCTGAGTGTAGATCAAATAAAAGTGGAACAGTGGTCATAATTTGACATTTCTGCATGACTACCACAAAAACTGTCTGTAAAAGAAGTACAAGAGCTAAAAAAGGAAACCTCTATTACAGAATGGACTTGCCCTAGGTGCTTTAGATACTTGCCCTAGGTATCACGTGATATGCACTGGCAGTCAGGCAACAGTGTCATAGGGCAGGCAATTATTTGTTATTTTATCTGCAGCTGCATAATATTTGCGACTAATGAAAACCAACATGGTGTTATTCAATTTTTAGTGTCAGAAGGTGTTGGAGTTTGTGAAGTGCTTTCGTGAATGAACATGTTTAAGAACACTCACTGTCAATAACTCAAGTGCGAGACTGGTACATGCATTCCAAGAGTGATGGGAATCTTTGAAAGATGATCTGCAACTGAGTCATAGTCACCTCTTCATCACGGATGCTTTGGCGAATGAAGCTGACCAGACCATCCATGCAAACAGGCAAAGCACGTTAAAGGACATCAGCGAGAAGGTGAGTGTAAGTTTCGAAAAGCCAATCATTACACAGAAACTGCATTACAGAAAACTGAGTGCATAGTGAGTGCCACACAATCTCATAGACCAGGGTTTCTTAAACTTTTTTCAGTTGCAACCGTTTTATATCACTGAAATTTTTCGCAACCCCCTGGACCCCATAATATTTACAAAACTTTTGTGGGACCCCATAAGTATTGCGTAAATCCGACACATGCGTGAGTGAAGCTGTCAATTTTTTCACTTTTTGAATAAGCTATTTTACGAAACGTTTTGAACATGTACTTTTACAACAACTAAGTTCTGAAGTAGGTAAATAATAGTATTTCTAAAAAGGAATTTAAAATCATTTCTTTAATATTTAGTAGATGTCTTGTAAATAAATTACAAAAACAGGTGCAAATACTATGTTATAGTAACTAATGATTCAGATAAGGGAGAAAGTGCAAAATCGCCCACTGCTTGGCGCGTTTTAATAATTGCACATACTCGGTATCCATATACACATCGACCTATTTTCACTTAAAATAACAGCCCAGAATTGCACAAAAATGGCATTGTGCACTCCTTTGACTTTATTCATGTACACATCGACCTATTTTCACTTTAAAAGTCACAGAAAATTGACAAAAATCCAATTCTTCTTACTCTTGTAAAAAGCGCCAAACAAATAAGTATCTGTAAATAAATAAAAAGCGCCAAACAAATAAGATTCTGCACTTTACCCCAGATAAGAGGCATAATAGTACATATGTTTATAAAATTTCAATCGCAAATAATAGCTAAAAAAACAGAGTTTTATTCCTACCAGATAGGTATATCTGAATTTACTTGTAAACAAATAACGATGATTAGTGCGTTCAGTTCAGTTCCCTTATGAAGGTTTATGCATGTTGAAAACAAAATTTTAGATAATAATTCATAAACTCATTAAAGAAGGTTTTCCAGATTTTATGTAAATCTTCCCTGTAGGCAATAAGCTACAGAGCTTATTGTAGCTACAGAGCAATATATTACTATTACATTAAAGATGGAAGTAAGTACTGATTTTTTCAATAACAGTAGGAGAATTAATAAAATGTGTATAGTAAAATAGTAAAAGAATTTGTTTCTGCATAAAGTAATTTTTATTTTGAGATTTTCTGTTTGGATTTTCCTCTTTTTTTTTTTTTTTTTTTTTTTTTTTTTTTTAGTTAGTTAGATGTGAGAATTTAGGTAAATGGTATTGAAAAGAAGTGAATTCCGAAGAAAATAGTCTGCTGAAAATTGTGAAATAATATCCTGTTTTGAACCTACGTGCTTGGATTTTGAGTACCACTTTCCGTTACAAGCGGTGTTTTAATGTCCGGTTTGTGAACAATACATGTTTACATATTTGCTGTAAATATTTCATTTTAGGTACATATCTAATTACTTTAGATCATCAAAGTTGTTCTTACGTTATTAATATTTTCGTATTTTTTTTCCAGAGTTCTTTAATCCATGACGAATTATGAGTTTTATCGAAGGTGTAGGAGATGAAGTAGTAGGTTTTGCTGTTACTTTACTAATATTAGTTTTGTGTGCCATTGTCCACTTTTTTCGTAATGCAAATCCGTGGTTTATCCGCGACATTCCCGCCGTTTCACCTGAAGTTACCGCAGCTGCTTCTGAACAGGTAATTATTGTTTACATATTTCATGAAATTAACATGGCTCTTCTTAAGTTTTGGGGATATACAGAAGAATTTAATGGTTCTTGTTAATTGTTAATAATAGTTCAGATACTGACATACTATTTTATAACTGTCTTTCGATGTAATAATAAATTTTTAATTTTTCCCACCCTTAATATTGTGTATATATTCACTGTAATCGCTAAAATGTATCTGCATTACAACCCATAATGTTGCCAAAAAATATTTCTTTAGCGACACAGGTATGAATGTAGCATCTCTGCATATAGCTTTCCACTTCTTCAGACATTTTCACCAGTATTACTACAAATTATGATCCCTCTTGCTAAAATTTGAGTGTTTTAGCATGGCAGTGAACTGCATATTGCAGTTTTGATAGTCTTCAGCAAAATCTCAGGCTTAGCTTTCTGTATTCATAATACATACATAATTTGCTATGTTTAAAGACACCATATGCCTCCTTTTTCTTCTACATGTTATGATTTTGAAGCCAAAGCTATGCACTTTGCTGAATTTTTGCATTTTTCTGATTTTTCTTTTTTTGAAAGCAGATCACCGTGTGCATGAGGGCAAAAGGGAAAGGAAGGAAGTGGATGAGTAGCACTAGCTGCATTGTTAAAATAAATGTTGAGCTACCTTGATAAATGTTTCTCTCCAAAGTCAGCAGTGTGTTCATGACTTTTCACTGGGGATGCAGATAATCAGAAAGTACCTAATAAATTATCAGTGGATGTTTTGCGTGGCTCTTATCCAGTTGTGCTAAGGGTGAAATGGGCAAGGCTTTGCTGATATACTGAATTATGTTTTTACAAGTAACCTTTAATATGAATCTTTGGGGGGGGGAATTCTCTGCCCTGGGCTAGCTAAGTAACACTACGATCAGCTGTGGTTGAATTTTTAAAAATGAATTACTCTTTATTTTCATGTTGATCGTGATTAAATCTCTAATTTTCATCATGAAATGTTGGTCATACTTATAGAATCAGCAAACAGTACTTGCATGTTAATGCAACCACCTTAGTAGAAGTGGCCAAATTTTCAGAATGTGTCAAGCTCTGGCAGCCATGTGCATAACCATTCTTCTGCAACCAAGGTCATAACAATTGTTTCAGTTAACAACGCCATTTTCATATGCATTCTTTTTCATTGTATTCCAAGTTCAAATGGTTTTTATAAACAAATCATGATATTTTTGGCTTTAGTTTAAAATATGAGCTTATGGAATTTGCCAGCAATGGAAGAAATTGCCGAAAATTTTCTAAAGCACTGTGCACTTTGAGAGAAGAATGATGCAAAAAAATTTGAAGAATGTTAAGTGTTTTTTTTAATCCTTATTTAGTTATTCAGATTTGTATGTTAAATTGCCAAAGCATGTTTTTCTTTTCACATGTGGATAATGATTACTGACAATAAATATTGATAGTTTTGAAATCTTTATTAAAAAAAAGCAGGAAAACTGCCAACTTATATCCGATAAATAGCTCTTAACGTTTTATCTGTAAAAAAGCGCCAAACTGCAGCAAGGTGGTTGCATTAATATGCAAGTATCCAATAAACATATACGTGAGAAATATGTTTCCAAATTAGCCTTTCCATCCTAAAAAAGAACAGTTGAATTTGTTGTTACTCTTCTGTTATCAGGATTAGATTCAGAAATATATGCCTTCTTGTATGCTTATGTATGTACATACATATACTGTGCATGCATATACATGTGCTGTGCATATACATATACTGTGCATGCATATACATGTGCTGTGCATGTACATATACTGTGCATGCATATACATACATATACTGCATGTATACATATATTTCTGAATCTGGTCCTGATAACGGAAGAGTAGCAATTTGTTTTATGTTTTAAGCCTGCCCTTCCTGAATTTGAGTTTCTTAAAATCAGTAAAGATTTGGGTGCTTTATGATTATCTACATATCATGAAAAAGCTGCCAACTTATTGGCTATTATATGAATTGGTAAAAGTTGTTTGTTTAGCTACATCTGTCTTAACTGTGCATTTAGTACTACCTTTTATTTTACATTCTTCCATGCATACTTGTTGAAGGGAATTAGACCAGTCAACACATGTTGGATGATAATTTAAATTCTTTAAAGAATTTCACTGGTGCATAGTTTCTACAACATTAACTGAAATATATAATAATAAATAAAGCAAGCAAAGAAAAATGTGAAGTAAATACAGCTGTGTTCAAAATAGTTTGATTCTCATTCTAACATTTTGCTTTCAGTTTTTGATATTGCATTTCCACAAAATTCGGTCTTTCAAGGAGCATAACTTCATCAAATGAGAATTTTCACATTCTCTGTAATTGGACAAAATACCATATTTTTGAAGAATTTCAATGGTTTCTTTCATATCAGCTTATAAATTCCATCGTCCATTATAATTCATTCTGAACAAAAAAAAAAAAAAAAAAAAAAAAAAAAAAAAAATGCAAGAAGAGCTCGGCAAAAAGACACATATATATGAAGCATATAAATCTAAATGCACTCAAAAACATGTTTGAGTACATAATTCAGTATTGCTGCATGATAGATTGGTTGTTGTTACACATATATTTCAAGATATGCCAAAAACATGGCAGTTTTACCGCATATTGAAACTATGGATGAGAATAAGCAGAAAGCATCAAAATTCAAGTGTTTTAGGAGAAAGAACTCAAGTTTACTTAATTAATTGGTTGTTTAGTCATTCAGTTTTTATGATAGTAATGTTTTTCTTGCCAGTGGAGTAGCGAGCATAACTGGCGCCCCCTTCCCTCCCAAAAAAAACACAGCGATATGATGAAAATCTTATTTGGAGACCATTTGCTGCCCCTTTGCGAGCGGCGGCCGGGGCATCATACACCCCCTTGCCCCCCTCGTTACGCCCCTGTTTCTTGCATAATTTTAGCTTTCAGCTGTTATTTCACCAGCATTAGGCTGACATGTGATTCTTTTAGTTGTTAAATATCCAATAATTTCAAAACTTCAACTGGCATGCTATCTCTTACACATAGTGCGAATGGCAAAGAACTGTTATATATCAGAAATATAAAAGCTTTGAAGAAATGTGTTAATTATTAAGTGAACAATAATTTTATTAACATGTCATGCTTATATCTGTTCAGAAAGTTCTCAGAAATATATTCTCATACATGTTAAACTTGTAATACAGTACAAAGTCTTTAATCCGGACTCATCGGGACTTCAGCAAATACGGATTAGGGTTTCTTCCGGATTATAGATCATCAATTTAAATCTGGTAAGATGGCATGCAGAAATTACAAAATTAAAAATATGAAACTGTAATTTATGAAATAAAGATCAATTATGATCTAAAGGGTATCAAAATTTAAAAAAAAAAAAAAAAAAAAAAAGCTTAATATTTATTTGTTTACTTTATTAAACATTTCTTTCAATGTAAGTTGTTTAAGTTGCTTCGTTTTATGTGCTAATGCTTTCTCTTTAAATCCATAAACGGACATAATTTCTTGTTCAGTTCCGCTGTTCAAGTCCTGTAATTGCTGTGCCAAGAATACCGACTAATTTGTCAATCAAAATGTTTTTGTTTTCACTAACCTGTCACTTTCTTCATGCCTTTATCCATTTTTTGCAGCAATTCCACTTTTTGTTTGGTGGACATCGAAACATGCTTTCACTTTGTAGACCCTTTGGCAGCTCCAGAATCGGAAACTCTTTTTGACATAATCGAAAGTTCAAGCTTACTTTTTATAAAATTGCTCTAACAGTCTGCAAAAAATAATAAGCCGGATCCAATTAGAAGATTAAGGAACAATGCAATCTGCAACATTAACTGAAATATATAAATAGATAATTTTAGCCTAGCTTATACTGTTTGTTATACATTAAACATGCATGCGTAAAGGTATTATGCACATGCGTAAACTCTATGCATGCGCAGAAAGTTTGGAGCTTTGAGATCCGTATTATAGATCATTCCGGATATGGATGTCCGGATTAAAGACTTTGTACTGTATTTTATCTGTTAGAGAGCATTAGTGTGTATTAAAAAATGTATGAAGTGACATTATTTAAGATGGCATAGTTTGTTGTAATGCAAACACAAAGTATCTTTCAACCATCCAGTATCATGTTACATTTGAGCAAGAAAGGATCCAGTTTCTGCAATCAAACTACATCACTATCATGTCATAACCACCATCTTATCTGTCTGATTTCACATGCTATGACCCCTTTGTTTCATCTTATCAGCACATTCCTGTGGGTTTGTAAGGATCTTGATAACCAAATAAACGCTGTCACCACAAAGTTTGAATAACAGAATCTACCTTGCAAGAGCTCCTTTGCACCAGTGGTATGGTAGTCGACTGCCATGTAACAGACCCAGAATCAAATCTGAAGGTGATTATAATCTTCAAGGACATACTAATCTTGTGTTCTACTGCATATCTTAGACGTGATAATAGATGACAACACGAGCAAGCAACCACAAACTAAGCAAGCTTATGACACCACAAGATCACTACAGGGTCAAGGTTTTCAGACAATTCAAACTATTTGAAAAGAATAGGTAGCCAGTTTGCAGAAATATCAACAAAGACATTCTCCCAGTACTTCCACAAATGCAGGACCATTGTAGCAAATGTTTTTAGGGATGCTGCAGTAAAAGCTTCACTATCCAGAAAGCTTGAGGCATGCCAAATTCCAGATAATTGATCGTATGAAAAATGAAATTCATAGGAGAAAAGCCAATTGAGTAGAAAAAATTCCTGGTTTAACATTGTAAAAACAATCATTTTATGTGTTATCAACTTAAATATCAAACACCTCCATATAGATTATGAATGAGATTTCAAAAGTGGGCATTTGAGACATAAGCGCCTGAATAAAACATGATATTCGATTGTGAAATTTCATTAAAATTGGTGAAGATTTCGCAAAACTTGCACCAGCCCTTCCAACAGAAGTTTGAGCGAACAGATCATTCTTTATTTAA